ACTTTTTATTAATTGTATTAATGTAATTTTTATATGAGTCTTAAAATTGTGCTATTATAATTTTTACATTAAGCTTGATTGTTGTTTGTTTATTTAAATATAGTTTTTCTTTTTCAATAATTTTATTTCATTTTATATTAATCTTATATAACATAATTTTGCTATTTACATATTTGAATCATTCAAACAAAATATATTCTTATGTTTATATTATATTATTATTAATGATAATTTGTTAAGTAGATTTTTAACTGTTAACCTATTCAACTAAATAAATTGTTGTTGTTTTTAAAATGACTATAACACAATTTGTTATGTCCCATGTTCAGTGGTACGTTGTAATATAACCTTGAATTACAAATTAGTTTTGCAGTAAAGCTGTAGTATTTTAATTATATTTTATTTAAATCAACACGATAATTGTAACAAAATTACTTTTTAAAAGAAATTTATATGGAGTGATGTGTTATTTTCATAGTACTTAAAATAAGTTATAATGTAAATGTATGACAAAAACAAGAGGCTCGTAAACCTGCGGAACACCGTGTTTGATTTCTAGTAGGTTGCTATAAGAATTGTTTATTTTAACATATTGCATTCTATTTGAGGAAAATGTAAAATCAATTAAATTTATTGATAATTCCCTAACCTAACCGTTTATAATCTTCTTAAATCATATTTATGATTTATCGAATAGAGTGCAATCTGTTAAAATAAACAATTCTTATAGCAACCTACTAGAAATCAAACACAATGTTCCGCAGAAAACAGTTCTTGGCCCTATTTTATTCGTTATATATATTTATATCAATGGTTTACTTAATCTGGAGATAAATGCTTAAGTTATTAGTTATGCTTATGACACCATGATATTATTACGTAAGCCCTTGTACATCCGATGCTATTTATTATAGATTTGAATAAACACTTATCTTTTTTAGTTCCTATAATAACGCTATTGAATTATTCCATAACTACGTACATATCTGACTGTAGAATGTTAACACCTATGTCCTATAAGGTAGGTATAATAAAAAACTGAAAAAGTCTAAAAGTTGTATATATTGGTTCTAAAAAGAAAATATTTTTAAACGTAAATTGATTAAATATTGTTGTTATATTTTATTTTATAAGTACCCCAATACCTACTTACCTATAAAAATAACGCAAAGAATAACTAGGCCGTATATTAATATATATTATACTAGCTGATCCCGTGCACTTCGTTGCCCTTAAAAATGTGTGATTGCTTAAATCTTTTTGGATGTAACTCGCAACAGTAAGTGCAATTCAGCCACCCCGAACAATGATACATAATATAATACATTTGTCGTAAAACGTAACTTTTAATGCCCTAGACATATACTGGGTGATTCTTTTATCAAACAACACTCATTATTTCTAAGTGTAAATTTTTTTGAAGATATTTTTTTACATAGTTTCAAGTCGCTTATAAAACAACGTTTTTATTAAAAATTATATTTTTAATTATTTTTTAAGTTTTTTACTTTTTTGAAAGACAACATAGGGTTTTCATTTTATATTCTAAAGTAGAATATTTTTCTTAGTATTTTGATACATGAAAATTGAATTTGGGGCGAGTAGTTTATGAGTTATAAGTAATTAAAGTTTAGACGAGCGGTGAAGTGGACAAACATTTCGCGGGGTATCCCCGAACCACTCCACTCCGCTCGTCTAAACTTTAAATACTTATAACTCATAAACTACTCAACCCAAATTCGATTTTCATGTATCAAAATACTAAGAAAAATATTCTGCTTTGGAATATAAAATTAAAACCCTATGTTGTTATTCAAAAAAGTAAAAAACTTAAAAAATATTCAAAAATATAATTTTTTAATAAAAACGTTGTTTTATAAGCGACTTGAAACAATGTAAAAAAATATTTTCAAAAAAATTTACACTTTTTGAAATAATGAGTGTTGTTTGATAAAAGAATCACCCAGTATAGGCGTTGCCCGTGAAAAGAATTGCAAGTCAAATACCCTTTACATTTTTATTATTGTTGTAAAACATAATAACATGTATCGAATGAAAAAAAATTATATTATAGAAAACTTTTTATTAATCATATATTGAAAATAAAATAAAATTATATTGAATCATATATCATTAAATTTATTAGGTTAGAGCTTCTTTGTAAACGATATTTTATGTTGTTTTATTTTGTGGCAGCAGACGACGTATTTTTATTGCCCTAGCCTGTGAACTATTTCTAGAAAGTTGAGATCTTGTTCTTTTGGGCATTTTAAAATGAGAAAAAAAACTAAACAGTAATGTAATGTATTGTTTATACACACGCCGCCATGATGCCGATAACGGTCGTACATCACAGTCGTAGGCATTACGGACATGTTATACTAACTATTTCTCCTATGATCAATAGGCAATAGCCACCATTTTCAATAAACAACCACCAATAATTATTATTTATTATTATAATAGCTTTAAAACCCATGGCAACTATTTTTAAACACAAAATTCTATCGTAAATCTCAAAATTCCAGTTTGAGCACCTCCCCTGGGTGATCAATTCACTTTTTAAATTAGCCTATATTCATCAATGATAATGTCGGCTTCTAATGGTAAAACAATTTTTAAAATCTGTCCAGTAGTTTCGGAGCCTATTCAATACAAACAATCAAATCTTTCCTCTTTATAATATTAGTATAGATATATTTAAATTTATTATACATATTATGATATTAATAAAGATATCATATTAAAGTCGCACAAACAGCCAGTGGCAGATTCATGAGATGGTCACATGCCCCACCACCTGTCAATTTTCTATCGAACATTTTTTTATGTTACTATGAGTATCATTATTCTACCAAATATTAACTGTTATTTATTATAATCATTATTGATTTAAAAATATAATATGCAATGCGTATATGTATTATTAATTAAAATTAAAATTATATAATTTATATGTGGCCCCACAGTAATCTATATGCCTAAATGCATGTACCTACGTAAGTAAAATTTCGGTATGTCGAAATTTCGAGAACAGCAGAACAATGTTCGAGATTACATCTTTTCCAATTTAAGGTTAAAATTAATTACACATCGAGTTTATTGTCGTAGGCTATCATTAAAGGCTTGAATGTTTGGTTTTTTTTTTATTTATATCCGTTTATTTGCTAATATTATTATCAACTAATATCATCGAAATTACGAAATATCTTTTTGCTGTGCCCCTCGAAAATTGTTAAATAATAAAAACATTTTCAATAATAGTTCAGTTTTAGATATAATTTGTCAAACATTCTCGATACACCATTATTGTAATAGGGAATGCCGTGTATGGCGAAACCTTTAGAACCGATAAAACATATAAAAATACAAAGTACAATAATCATAATAAAATATAGGTATAAATAAAAACAACTATTGCAATATTAGCGAGCACGTATGTATTATGCCTATATTGATATTGTAGGTAATAGTCAGGGTCGTATTTAAGATTTTTCCGCCCGCGGTCCGTGGGCAACTACACTTTGCTTATAGTGAATAATTGAATTATTTTTTAAATTTTTACCGATCTTAAATCAAATTATTTCATTTTGCCTTGAAAAAATGGTTGCTAGAAAATATCACAACTCAAGAAGTGAACGTAATATACGATTTTTTATGAACAATTTTTTTTGTCCTACGAGGTTAAATTAATTAATTTAATACTGCTAGGTATGAAATTGGAGTTTGTAAAAATACTAAAGGTTATACAACACAGTACTTTAACAAGGTCTCATCTCTAATATAATAGGGAAGGAAACTGGGAAACATAAATATAAATATTTAAATACATATTTTTCATTTTCATATTTCTTCACATTTCACAAATTATTTATAGAATTTAAAATATTGAGTAGTTATTTTTTTTTTTAATTTTTGGTAATTTTTCTAATAAATTAATCCGTATAATAATTATATCACTACTGTGAAGCTATTACCATCGACCACCACTATAGAGAGTCGACAAAAAAAATTTGCATCTATTGACGAATACAAATAAAACTCGGAATTCCGCTCGGAATCTAAAAAATATGAGAATAAGAGAGGGCTAAACATATATGGTGAAATGAAAACAGAAAAAAATATTACATCAGAGATTCAGAGGTAAACACTAAATATAAATATATTTTGATCAGTCAGTGATATTAAACGACACAATATCATCAAAATATAATCCGTGTAACTGTATAATGTAGGTAGGTAACTAAAATTCGAACAATTCGTATCAAGCATTAGACAGTATTTATCATAAATATTTAATTTATTAATTTAGAATTCTCAATATTATTATTTATTTATTACTTAATTATTATCAGTGTTGAGTTCAGATAGCAAAAATAACACCTAGATAAATATTAGATTACTAGCTAGATCAATATCTAGATTAATATCAAGATAGAATATTCAATTTCTATCTAGATAAATATGTAGATAAAATTTTTTCATCTAAATTTATATCTTACAATAGTTAATTTGTATTAATGCTTGACATGTTATTGGATTCTTAGTTGAGTAATTGATTAAGGGATGCAAACCAGGAAGGCTCGTTTCGTGTCAAAAAAATATTATCTAATGAATAAATATAAATATAAAATATTTAAATACCTATATATTATATTTAGCATACAGTTGGTACCAATTTCAACGTATAACAAAATATCAAATAACCAAAATCATGGTTAATTAATAATTACTAATTAACATATATTTTCTGGTTTAAAAAACTAGTTTATATTTTTTATATTACATTCAAACTGCAAATTAAAATATAAATACTAAATTAAAATAAGTACAAAAAAAAAAAAATAATAACAAGTAAAAAATCTTTTGTTCCTTTTGAAAATATTAATTATATAATAAAATATAAATGATTTATTAAAACAACATACGACTCGTACAAATATAAATACTAATAATATTTTAATTGTTAAACAAATAAACTATAATGATATGTCGCTTGTTTAGTTCTTTGACTTGCAACATAGTAACATCTCAAACGTTTTGTCTCCTAGACGATTTCTCCTGTGTGTTAATACTTGGATTGCTCCACTAAACAGTCGTTCCACTGGAGCTGAAGACGGAATAGTTGTGTTGTATTTTAAGAACACTTGTTTAACTATGGGATAATCTTCTAAAACACTAAATTCTTTTTTGGGAGAATTTAAGAACGTCAAAGCCTGTACACAAGAAAAGTTTGTAATTCTTGATTCATCAGCAGAGGATCCATTATTAGTGTGTTCATACAAACATGAGTAAAATTCCTGGTCACTATCATCACTGTCTTCATTATCACTAGCTACAGCAGTTTTTTTTTTGATATCACTCATATTAGTATACATTTCATTGCACTCAGTCAAAAAAAGTTGTTTGCACAACTCAATGTATCGAACAGGAATCCAACTTAATTTGAACTTAGGATGACTAATTGATGCAATGACAAAACATTTACTTTTGGGCAAGGACAAATCAAATAAATAGGCAAACCTTTTTTCTAAACTTTGAACTACTTTAATACATAATTGTCTACAGTATTTTAAATTTGTTAACGCTATTAAAGTGCGGCGTAAAACTAAAATAATAGGTGCAACATAGCCCAAGAAACCTTTTTTTTCACATTGCATCTTGTCCAAAGAAATTGTTAAAGGTTCCATTACGTTACAGTACTCCGTCAAGAAATCCCATTCATTTGCCTTTAATTTTGTTAAACGTAATTCTTCAAATGCTTTAATAATTTCAGTTTTATGAGCCAGTACCTTTTTAGCTGCATCGAATAACGAGTTCCACCTTGTCATAATAGGTACTGGAAATTTGCAACCACATATCTCAAACACTTTGTCAGATGCAACCGTGCTCCTACTTAATAAATTCCAAAAGCTTTGCAATTTTTTAAATGACGATTCAGACATTTTATTGTATTTACTATCATCAATTGAAGAAATATCACGTGTTGCTATCAAATTTAAACTATGGGCACAGCAAGTAATATGTGATGGCAGAGAAAAATTATCGTTCACTGCGTCCGATATGACTGGAGTTGAGAGTACCTCATTGACATCTATCAAATTTAAGTTTGTATCTTCATCGTCAGCTGTATCAGTACTACAGCTACCAATATCACTATCTTCATTGAAATTGCCAAAAGTATAAGAATTTCCCTGATGTACATCAGGTAAAGGTTTAGAAAATGTCTTAAATGATTTACTAAAATTACTGGCGTTGTCTGTGACAGTATGAGTAATTTTTGAATGGTCCAATTTGTATGTTTCAGTTATATCAGTCATCATCTCAGCAATATTAATGTAGTTATGGCTTCCTTTCATTCTTCTACATCCTAAAATATATGAATTTCGTTCATATGTAGACTCATTTATCATATGGCACGTCATACCTATATAAAAAAATGAATTTATAATAATACAATTTTAAGTTGCTTATTAAATGTATATGTATAATAATATAATACCTACAACAATACCATACCACAAATAGTTAAAAAATGTTATTAAGTATTACCATCCATTATACATAATATAATATAGTACACATAGTGTATTATACTATGTAGGTACTATAATCATTGGTATTACTTATTCACAAGTTGGTAAAAATGTCTAAATCAATTTGGTAATTTTATTGAAGTTTTACTAGGTAAATGTAGGTACAGTATAATTTATTAAAAAAAATATAATTATAATATATTTACCCATAAAGCTTTTATTATTTGAGCTCCAAATGTCCGCAGTTGTACAAATATAATTATGATTTTGTATTAAATCTGTTATCATTTGCACATATAATGCATATCTGGATTTTAATTGAGCTTTGATTTGAATTCTGTTTGGTAAAATAGAAGTATCTTTAATGCCAGTAAGTCCCATGATTAATTCTCGAAAGCTACGTTTTTCGCATGTAATCAGAGGTCTCATTTCATTAATTATGTAATTAAATACCAACTCATTCATCTGAAACAAAATTGTTTTTTTACTTATCTATTAGACAATTTAAACTTAATATTGAAAGTTTTGTAATGTGCCAGAACAGATTAACCTGAAAACTATTATTTTTATAAAATCCACTAGGGAATATAATAAACTCTTTATTATATATAAATCCTTAGCTTTTAAACAATCTATAAAACACCAACCCACTTAACTCTGGTTAAGTTATAATGTGAGTAAGGCAACTCAAATATTGAAAAATATTTATTAGTTCAAATTTTAGGTGGGTTAGTCTAACTCATTGAAAATTAGTTATTCACTTTAATCTGAATCTTTTTAAACTAGATTATACCGTGTTCAATTGGTAATAGAAAAGATTATCAGTAGCTTGATATTTTAAACTAAAATTACCTATGATTCAAATGTATTTTTGAGGACCAAAAGCTAAGAAAATGTCTTCTGTAAATATAGAAATGAATTGACCTTTAAAAAATTCATAGAACATATTTCCAAAATAATAAATAGATAATTTAAATTTTACATTTGATTTATAATTATTTTAAAGGTTTTCTTCATTTATTGTACTAATACATAAATGTTGTAATTAAACGTTAATTGAATAATTTGACAAAACTACATAAAAAAATTATCATTGTCTTTATAACTTAATTACCTACTCATATTTGTTACTTTAAGTTCGATAAAAAAATAATATTAATATAATTAATAACTAGGTTAAAACGTTAAATTACCTTTTCCTTAGACACTTTTTTAGTAGAATCATATATTTTAGTTTGAATTAAGGTAGACGAGGTTGATTCAATCTTTTTCTTTCTTGCATCTTCAACTTTTGACATTAAAAAGATATGTTGACTCTAAACAAATATAAAAATTAATAATAAATAAAATAGGTAAGTCAAAAACACATATAATAAACAAAAAAATACTTTTCAAAACTATTATTTCATAAATCCAATTTGATTAATATTCGAAATATCAAAGTATAGGTAGCTAGGTAGGTACCTATATTCTTTTTCAATTTTCTTATGTAGTTATTTTACAAAAAAATTTATAAAAATTAATTTATTAGAACAAATATTATGAAAACTTACCTTAATATGACTTAATAAGTTGCCACTTGAAGTTGTGTATGCAGTAATGATTTTGTGACAGTTTTGACAAGAAGCTTTGATTTTGTCACCATTTATCGACACCAGTTTATATACTGTATCGAATAAATACTGAAATTTAAGTTCTGGCAATGGTGCAGGAACATCAACAGCAGGTGGAGGTGGGTCATCGACATTTTCTAGACAAATTCTTTTATTGGGCGTTGAAGACGTTATACTTAAAAAACGATCCATATTGGCAGTAAACAAGAAAAACTTGAAAAGAACAAGAAAGTTTACGAAACGAAGTTGTAAATAACAATGAAATTAATCAACACTCATCAGTCTGTGCTGTATAGGGAGTCGCAATAGTAGTAGCCACTAGTCAGTCCCGCGGATTATAAATGTATAACCACAAACTATTATCTAATTGATTAAATGAGTGTGACCACAACTGACCAAAGTATATTCTAGTGAGTAGTGACTAGTATCTGGTAAAGAAATTAAATTATAGTACAAATATTATTATTTATAACATCCAATTGGGAATTGGTGTTGTCAATATAAAATAGATGTGCGTGTGTATTCTTGCCGGTCGAGAACTATTTTTAGTTTTTTCCACATTATTTACTGATCGACGGGACATTATCGTGGGGTATAACAGCTTGTATTGATATACGACCTCGACAGCGTCTGCGGTCGGCGTACGGGTGCTATTGTTAATTCGATAATAATGAATCGTCATTAAACATACTTGCGTAGTATCATATTATTATAATATTTGATGGAAAATGACCAAATGAAAAACGTGCATTATAAAACGAGATTTATCTAGATATTTATGTAGATTTCCATAACTTAAATCTTAGATACCAATTAGATATTATATAATTTTTTCATCTAGATAAGATAAAGGTACTTAATTTTCATCTAGATAAATTATCTAGATAAATGTATCTAGATACAACTCAACACTGATTATTATTATGAAACGGGACGAGACCAATACAAAATGATGATATAGATTATGCGTTTTGTATAGTCACGATTATAAAATAATACGTCAAGTTCTCACAAAAGTTTAGAAAATATCTGCCAGTATGCCATCACCTCTATAATATTATTAGGTTTGCGAGTCGCCAATGTACCTACATTATAATTTCTAATATATATAAATATATTGCATCTATATTATTATCATACATGGTACAAGTAGGTAGGTGTATATACTATAAAATCGCTGAAATTCTAATAACATTTATTATGTCCATAATATATAGTGCACAGTCGTCGTGGTCCTCGATTCCCCTATACCTTTCAAGCTACACCAGTGGCGCCTAACCCTATATTGAGGTCTTGGCCCGACATCTTTTGAAAATTTAGCATGGGGCCGTTTTCAGAAACAAACAAAATCGTCTCTAATCCGTCTTAGTTGGTGGGAATTACAAAAAAGTGTGATTTAAATTTTCTTTTAAAACTGAACATCAATCATTTTTAGGTAAAAACTAATACCTCCTCGGTCCTCCACCCTTTCATGTACGCCATTGGGGCTAATATTTAAATATCGGGGCCGTTTCAAATATTTTTTGCACGACTAAATTTTTAGGACTTCGGCGCCACTGCGCTACACAGACTTAATCCCATGCGGTAAATCCTCCACGGCCGTGGAGAGAGCAACCAACGATTTTGATTTTTTTGCTCCCGGTTAATAATAATTTGTATACGTGGGCCCGAGCTTTAATCGTTCACTGCTGCTGTCACCGAATGGTTAAAGTCGGTTACGTTAGGTAAACCGGACGTACAATAGAAATCACGCCGTTTGTACGGTACATTATAATATTATTATAATACATTATACGGTACCTGTCGTCTATAATGTGTACAGAATATACGTCGTTCGTTTCGATTTTGCCCTTCCCCCTGCCCTTCTGGTTGTACGACTTTCGTGACAGGCTCTCCGTGAGATTATGAATATTATATTATATTATATTATTTATAGTATAATTTTGTTTTTTTAAGAGGTATTTACTTATTTTTTTTTGCGTGCGAGTATGGGTGGGTGATATCGACCAGACTTTTCACCGCTCAATAATCATATTATATATATACCTAATATATTATCAAACTACAATATTATTACTCATTTATGGCGAAATCGAACCGTTAATTTAAGGGCTGTGTGTTCACACTGTATGTCTGTATACATAGCCAATCTATCGACGTAATGATATACAAAACTTTAAAATGTATAATATAAACTTATAAAAATAACCTTATTATAAGTTATATCAAATGTCTTTAAATATTTATAAGACCAAGTCGTTATTTTAAAATGTGAAAGCAGGTAAAATTTGCTTTAGGAAATAACATATCTATTTTATTTTACATAAAATAAACGGTACCCAAACTAAGTAATATTTTTTGACGTGAGTGGGTAATTACCCTGTATACGATATATCATATCAACCGACTGACGATTACAGTGAACTATAAAATTAGTAATATATATATATAATATAATATAATATAATTATGTATAATTTATGTAACACAAGTATAGCAAAAAGATTTTTAGTTAGATTCTCAGAATTAATTTATTGACATAAGCAATTATAGGGATTTGAATTGTAATTCAATTTTTTTGTCATATACGTTTAACGTGTGTTACATTAGGATACTATCCTCAGGATAGATTAGATAAAATTATTGTTCACCCGTTATGCTCATAGTTGCAGTGGTTAAAGAACACGTTTATAATAAAGTTCTTGAGAAAGATCTTTTGGAGAATCGAAGTGTATACATAAAGTAAATATTAGACAGGTAGACAACGAACGTTTATTATTACTATTATTATTTTTACAATTTCAATATTTCACAATATAATTTCATTACATATGATCGAATGACATGTTATAGAAAGTATAAAATGCCCGATGTAAGTTGGCGGTGCTAATAAGTTAACCACTTCTGACTTTAAACAAACTACTTCTCTAGGCTGCTTGACCAAATAGCAGAACTTACCTAATATTGAGGTATATAACTGGTAGAATGCAGGTTGTTGATACAATAAATAATAATACATAATAATATAATTTAATAAATAGGTACAAAATATATTGTTTAATTATTAATATATCATTTATTAAATGCAGCGTGTGTTATGCGGGTCATTCGGGATGGGTGCATATGTGCCAATCACACTTTCGCAACAAATAACAATAATAACTATTGTTATGATTATTATATTACCTAAAAAACATTTGATGTTTGTCAGAATACCAAAAACGTTCATACCGGCCGTGCCGCGAATCAAAATACAAATGATACAGTGACTTGCCCTTTGCGGTACTGCCCATTACAATTTACAGCAAATTATTATTTCTAAACAACGGTAGTTGAGATGTCAGCTGTTCCTACACTAAGAATTTGTGTATTTTATATATAGGGGACTGTGCATCCTACTTTTACACATTGTAACGCACATATCTATTTCTATGTCGGAATTAGTATTTCATATTTGTATTTTACATCAATGAATAATGCTATTTGATAACAAAATAATTAAGTGATAATTAAATATTCTAAATTAAAAGCATACTGAAAAAAATAATTTTTATATAATATGTCAGTGGTCCAACCTGGTTGCGTTTTTTCAACATGATTATTTCTGACTGGTCCAAATGTGCATTGCCTGTTATATGCAATAATGCATATCGGCAACTTAATAATAACAATGGTTAGGTATATCTATTCACCCGCGGCATAATATAATTTCACATTTTAGTATACTATCGTCAAAATGGGGGGATTTTTTTTTTTTAATCCGTTCATAAACGTGTCTGCATCACATCCCCACAAAAAAAAAAAAAAAACAATTCAACTACCAAACAGACGCTGATTTATATACACAAATAAAAACAAGCCTCTCCCTACACGATACCTAACCAAAAACGTTATTAATATATTTATTATATATTACATCAGGCGATGGCAGGACGGGATTTTATATATTATACGTTCTTATATAATAGGTTAATAGGTGCATCACATGCATGTATTAAACATTTATGCTATTTGGTTATATTATATTATATTATTATGTTATATTTATATTTAATATGTATGTTTATCCCTCTTCCTTCCTATGTATAATATTATGTGAAGATGATAACAATAATAATCTAACCGTATGCCTATATAATACCGACTGATGGACCGAATATTATTGTTTTTTATATTGTATGGTAGTTTTTATTTACAAATATTATATACGTACTATAATACTATATGCCCATATAATATAATATTGTAGGGTTCGAGTGTTTTCCGCCCACAACCATGAACAATGTGATGGTGCTCTTTTTTATTATTTTTTATCTTTTCGAGCGGCGAGAGACGCGTATGCTTGCAATGCTAATACAGAGGGTCGGCAAGCTAGTGAAGGGATAATGACGCCGCTGTGGCTTTACCAACAAATTAAAAAGAAAAGAAAATAAGGACGAAGAATCCGTAAAAAAAAGCAAAAATGTTCACCCACTCCGAGATTCCCAAACAGATTACACTTTAAAAAAAAAATACAAATATTCATATTGCTCACTATACTTGCACCTACAACTTAATACAATAATATATAGTTATACTGTTGTATTACAATTTTAAATATAAAGTTAAAACTCTTATTTAGACTTATTTCTTGATAAAATTACCGTCGAAATAACCAAAATAAACAATCATATAAATCATATTCAACACGAAAGTATAACAAAACCCGACATACATCACAAACAAATACAAACAATTTTACTGACAATTTACTGCTTTTATTCAAAAATGTTTACGAATATAAATAACGAGATGAATTTGGTTACGTGGACACGTGCAAGTATAACGGTGCAGACAGTCGGTGCATCGACCAGATAACCAGCTTGCTGTACAAGATAAAGGACCCGGTGCATTTGTCCAACGTACACGATTGGGTGATGAAATTGACGACGGGTGAGCCGAGCAACTCCAAAACAGACTACTTGCGATTGCTCGAGTATGCGTTGAAAAGTGACGACGGCAAATGCCTCTGAGAACCGTTCACCAGCCCTCCGATGGACAGACTGCTGGCTGACCCGAAGAGCAGGTCGTCCCTGGTCGACTCGGTGGCCGCGTGTGTCGGCGGTGACAAGTGGAGGACCTCGGCCGGCGGTGGTTGCTGTGACGTTGACACGTCAACGGTAAATCTATCGACGACGGCCGCAGACGAGCCGCCCGCCTTGACCGATTTGCTGTGCCGAACAGACTGCAAGACGACGTCCGTGCAGAAGTTTGTGGCGGCCACGAGCCCGTTGACTTGTGACGGCTCTAAGCTGTTGAGCCGCGTGGCCGGCGAGTGCCTGGAAAATTTTGGCTGGACGGCCGGGGCCGTTTTCGACGAACGGAAGCAAAAGTTGTGCGACGCATTGGCCAAGGAACAGGTTGCCCTGTTGCTCCGGTACCGGACCACTGCGCAGCGGATGCTCACCCGCGCACAGATACTCCAGGATCACGTGCGCGAGCTGATGCCTACTTTTCAGTACGAGGAGTTCTTGAAACGGCCCGACGAGCACGTGACCAAGGTGTTGCTGGCCAAGAAGACGGGAAACGGACTAGAACCGGATACAGGGCTTTCAACGAACGGGGATGACGATGCAACAGAAGAAATTGATGTGCGCGCTCCAGTGGTTGCGGTCCGAAGTGGAGAGAGCTGATTGTGAGAACGTTACGCTCGTCTAACGGTATGACGCCGTCGTGGCGGCCATCGTTGTGGCCAGCAATAAAAAGATCGCCAACGAGTGCCGGGTGAGAGCTCGAAGTACAAACCGAACTGAGCGAGGTCCGAAAAAAGTCCGGAAAGCAAGAGGCGTTGATTGACAGCTACATTGGAAAAATGAGTTTGTAAGAGTGATTAATTCAGTATAAACAAGTACCGGAATGTCGGCATCGGCTCACATCAAGTCCTTGAGTATCTGCACTAGGGTGAATTTGTGTTGCGGGGCATTTGTCCGGTACTGGAGCAATAACTGGGCAACCAGTTTTTATTTGGCGAAGCTTTTGAGTCCATTCGTCGAATGCAGTCCCATCACGTTCATCCCGTTACTTGTGCCAATATAAATTATATTATATTATTATAATAATATTATAGTTATAAAAAATACATTTTTAACTAACAATTAATCTACACATGATGTACAGTCAATTAAACATATTAAAACGGAATGGCATGTCGGAATGATAGAGGAAAATCATAATAAGGTAACCCTTAACATGTTAATAAAGATTAGCACATTTTCCCAGTATCACTTTATAATAATTAGTGTACACTAATATAAAACTGAAGACTGAAAAAAATGTTTTCGCGGCAGGTATATTAACGAAAATACGTGTAGACGTTTTGTTGGGACCTACTGTATATTTTCATACACTGAAGTAGTCTGTTTTGTTTTAGTGTTTTTTCTTGTTACTCCATTTCAATCCCTAAGAGTATAGTTGCGTTAAAAAGAGTATTTCGAACTATATATACAATTTGCATACAAATATGTTAGTAGCATATTACTATCTTAAATCGATGTAGCATGTCAGAATGATTATTGATTCCCTTGTCAATCTTGTATAATTGAGAAAATTATAAAACAAACTTATACTACGAACTTACAATATACCTAACTGAAATTTTCAACGATTTTTATTATTAGATACTTTTGTAACGTGCTGGTAACTCGGTGCCTACTATTGTAGTAATAATAATAGACAAGTGGCCACCAGTACGTAAACGTTGCAGGTCGCAGACACTTCTTCAGATGAAATAGTCGTGGTTGATGAATAAAAGATATAACAGTTGTTGTATAATTGTGAATTTTATTATTACACTTCAATAATTTTTCTAAGTTCAAATATTATCGTACAGAGTGGCGTAAAGGTGCTTGCACTAATGGGTGGTAGTACACGTCTGAAAACAGGCTTATTCGGGCTCCCTTATATATGAAGTTCCCCGTGCCCCTCGCCTACAGATACGGTATCTTCGTTCTCACGGATGTGATTTGTGTGGTCATCATTCTAGCCCACGCATTTACGATTGAATGTATTACTAGTTTATGATTAATCATTTTACTCTATAATAATTGAATTTCATCGTACCTATGTGTCCATTATTCCTGTCAAACATGACAACCGCCTATTTTGACCCCTATTGTCCTTAATATCTGGTTATGCCGACCTATTATAATGATTATGATGCACTCGTGATTTATGATTTATTGTCACGTAGTAACTTGCTTACTACACTTTTGATGAATATACCTAATGCCCGTCAAGATAAAATACTACAATTCGTTACAATTGTATAATATGAAAGTGACCGAATTTCATGTCGTAAACAATATCGTTGCAATAATATTATGACATACGTATGCCGTATATTATATTGTGTTTTTTTTTTTTTTTAATAATATGTTTTTCATTTATACCAATACCATTGACACGACATAAGCAAATATATTATGTGTGTGTGTAATGGTAAGTACGGTCCTCACACAACTAAATGTATATAATGTCTATTGTTATTTGTTTGGTGTTTTGACTTTTGCGGGGTTAAATGCATATGTTTCTTTTTCGGAACACTAAAATAATACATGAATCATACAGGCTGAATATTTGTATTCAACTTATTATTTATTACTTATTAGTATACAGTACAATAATATTATAGACTCTATATAGCATAATAATAATATATAGTTTAGGTAGGTAGGTAGGTAGCTGGTACATATTATAATATTCGTTCAAGTCCTCCCCAGCCGTCAAAACGATAATAATAATTGCAGTCTATACCGGTTAGCGTGGAACGTATCATTTCGTCGTACTCGAGGGAGCCTAAAATATTATATTTTAAATTATATTATGTTCAGACGGCTCGTTCATGTACCTATATATTATAGGTATATATAGGGATACCGCGAATACACACCGAATCGTTTGTATATTATGTACAATATACTTGCCATAATGCTATCCGTCCGAGAGTAAGGATGCAAATTGTGACATTTGAACTGTGCAGTATGCTTATTATAAGCTATTGCTTATCTTTCACCAATCATGTTGACTCTATTCGAAATAAATCATATATGAAATTGGGATTATTAAAACGTATGTGTATAGTTTTTTCAACGATAGTTCAGCTTTAAAAATATTATATTATTCCTTAGTACACTCCCATATTGACTATGCCTCTTTAATTTGGCACTCTGATAGCATTTGTCAAAACCAGAGTCTATCTAGTATACAAAATAATTTTTTGAGATATTTATCTTTTAAATGTCACTTTGAAAGACGTCCTCATTCTGGGTATATTAATATTAGTATTTATTTTAATATTGCTCCTTTAAATAGTAGATTTAAAATGTTAAATTTAAAATTTCTTTTTAAACTATTACATTATTGATTGCCAAGAACTTTTAGAGCGTATTAATTTCAATGTAAATATAAAAAATTCAAGAAATAAACATCCTTTTTATTTATCTACTATTAAAACTAACTACATGTTATACTACCCTACTATTATATTAATGGCATGTGGTAATTTTTTTAACAACTTGGACCTGTTCAATATGGCTCTTCGCTCGTTAAATTGTCATTTTTAGATTATTACCTACTATTATATTAATTTTAATCGAATTGTTATATAATCAATTGTCTAACTTTTAATTTCTATATATATACATATTATATTCTTTTTTTTTCTCTCGTTCTTATATCATTTGTTTAAATTTTTTAGTGTAACACACACCTATGAAACTGTCATTATTTGTATTATTGTAAATTGGAATTTTATTCCGTTCATAAAATTATTATTATTATTATTATTATTATTAATATGTAACACAATACAATCGTCGCAGGGGGAGGAAGGTTGTTTGTCGTGAGCCACTGGCGTCTACGGTGTTAGAAAATATGACCTGCGTAATAATAATATGTAGATGACAGCTGCTAGATACATATATATATATCACAGAGTACTGCAAGATGTTATATAGTCTGGGCAGTTGCCTATTGTGTCCTCTTGTAGTTGTATGATCGGATTTTCTCTGACAGAATATTTTATTCGAGTTCTCGACCACTTTTTATCGAGTGTCACGAGCGCTCACAGCCCTTACGAATAGGTAGGTACAACGTCCATACTCGACCTCCAACATGGACATTGACAATCCAATTTAGAAATCAGTATAATATACAATCATACATTAATAACAAGTAACAACTGATCGGTACATATCAAAATACTAGAAAACGTGTTTAAAATGATATAACAATTACATTTTGAAATTTAAACATTACAAAATGTATCATCATCATTGACATTGACAATCCAATTTAGAAATCAGTATAATATACAATCATACATTAATAACAAGTAACAACTGATCGGTACATATCAAAATACTAGAAAACGTGTTTAAAATGATATAACAATTACATTTTGAAATTTAAACATTACAAAATGTATCATCATCATTGACCTAAAAATATAAATATTAAAAGTTTGGCTGGTCGAAAAATCACAACTCACAAGACCGCATTATTAAAATAAACATTAAAAAGTTCTTTCCTCTCTGTAAATAAACGCATAGACAACCCGACCTACCTACTAAAGTTGTGCCATATATATGTTACGGTCAAAAGCCGAAATCGGCCAAACCTCAGAAATGCCCTGGCAAAACGCGAACTGCCCACAATCCTTGGGCAAAATGTCATATTTCGGCTTTTGACCGGGCAAACCTAGTTATGACCAACCTCATTTGGGAAAAACCGTATACTGACTTTTATCGTAATGGCAAAACCTTAGTGTTGTAATCGTGATATCTTATTATTGCGGCCAACGCCCTTTTGTTACACACACACTCATTAATTGTATCGCTCGTTCTTAAAACACGTATTTTTTTTTATAAGCATTTAGTTCGAATATTGACAAAATACGTAACAATCACAAAAGCGTGTAAATTATTTTGAGTTCGGAATTACTAAAATTTTTTAGAACCTTTTGTTTCCAAGTTAGGAATTTTTAAGTTATGTAATATTTTGAGTAGGTACTTAAAAGGATTTATTTTTATAATACCTATTAATAAATAAATAGCGCAGAAATTTGTAGATTTTTTGATGCCAAATATTTAAAAATCACTTGAGCAAAAATACGTTATTTTAATTTTTAAATCTCAAAAACGCTCTACTAAACAATTTTGATATTGTCACATAGAACTCTTTGATTCCAAGCCCGTTAAAAATAGTAGAGTGCGAAAAAATTCATTTCTCTGTGCCATGATATCAGATTTAAAATTTGAATGTGCATATTTTTGCATATTTGATAGATTTTGCAGGAAAGTGTTTATTTTAAAATTATTATGCTTATTTTGCAGATTTTGACAATTTTTTGTAAAAAAAAGTATTTAGAATAACCTTCAGTGTAACTTGGCATTTATCAAATCGAATTTCTGGTTTTTACCCAAATCCATAACATTTTTGGAAAAGAAATGAATAATCCAATTCATTAAAAACTGTCGAAGATGTGAAAAATAAAATTGTTGACTTAAAATGTACAAAAAGCAAAGCAGTCGTACAGAAGTTAAATGAAGGTTTAGACAAAAATCATGGTTACAAAGCTTTATTAAAAAATTCAATAATTTTGGCGAAGTTGAAGATATGGAAGGATTGCCCGAAA